TCGGCGGAAGCCCGCGGAAGTTAAACGAGGCCACGTCCCCCGGAGGAAGGCCGACGGAAGCCAGCAGAAGTAAGAAATGTGCCCCAAGAGATGGCAAGTGTTTGGGGTTCAGGGTTTCGGAACCGGACACGCATCGCTGGGGCCACCGCCGCGACACGTTATCCAAAACAATTTCTGAACGGTAAGTAGCATGGCCTCCCGCGCCCCATTCGGGCGCGGGAAGATGGGGTAGGGTGAGGGGGGAAGGCTGCTGAGAAGGGGGTTGTCTCTTAGAAGGTGCGGGCTTTATCTGTAGATGTAAGGCCGGCGCTTTCTAAGAATCCGCCTCATGCTAAATAGCCTTCCCCCCACCCCCTACCCTCTTGTTCCGGCGGGTCCTGGACGAGGATACGTCCTTCCGAGAGCCTTCCGGAACGCTCTCAGTGCCTCCCAGCACGCTCTGTGAAGGCCGCGGCGCCCGGGGCATCCTCCAGAGCCGCCGGATCTCGAATGTTCTCGAGGTATCCTCGCCCGATGTTGTACTCGTCCTGGCTTCGTCTCGGCCAGCGCATGCCGCGACGTGCCGCGGCCGCGGCCGCCGCCGCGGCCCCCCGCCCGCCGCCCCCCCTCGAAAAGCGCTGCTGCTGCTCGCGGCGGCGGCCGCGGGCGCGCTGGCTGCCCGAGGCTGCCAAGGAGCCGCCCGTGTGGGGGGCGGGCGGCCGCCGGGGTCGGGGCCGCCACGGGGGCGCGCAGTCACGGCCGGACCGAGACGTTCGCTCGGACCTCCGAGTTTTGATGCTTATGCCACTCCATTTTCCCTCATTTATGTATTGTTATATATATATATAATATATATATATATATATATATATATATATATATATATATATATATATATAGGGGGGGGGGGGGGGGGCACGTGGATGGACGACGGGTCCCGCTTCCACACTTGCTCGGCGCGCCGCGTCGCCAAGTGAGGCGGCGTTGGCGCCATGTGCAGGGGGTACGTCGGATGGAGGACCGGTCGGGGAGGGTCACCGCGAGAAGTGATGCAGAACCCCCCCGTTCGGCAAAAGGGTTGAAGTTCCCGCACCCGGGAGCGTTATCCCGGCACCCGGATGATTTTGATGATGATGATGAGGATGAGGATGATGATGATGATGATGTTGATGATGATGATGATGAGGATGATGATGATGATGATGATGATGATGTTGATGATGATGATGATGATGATGATGATGATGATGTTGATGTTGATGGTGATGGTGATGGTGATGGTGATGGTGATGATGGTGACGATGATGGTGACGATGATGATGATGATGAGGAGGAGGAGGAGGAGGATGAGGATGAGGATGATGCTGATGATGATGATGATGGTGGTGGTGGTGGTGGTGATGTTGATGATGATGGTAGTGATGATGTTTGTGGTGATGATGATGATGATGATGATGATGATGATGATGATGATGATGATGATGGTGATGATGATGGTGATGATGATGATGATGATGCTGATGATGATGATGATGATTATGTTGATGCTGATGGTGATGGTGATGATGATGTTGACGATGATGATGATGATGATGATGATGATGATGATGCTGATGAGGATGAGGATGAGGAGGAGGATGATGACGAGGATGAGGATGATGATGATGAGGATGATGATGATGATGGTGGTGGTGGTGGTGGTGGTGGTGGTCATGATGATGATGATGATGAGGAGGATGATGATGATACTGATGATCATGATGATGATGATGATGATGATGATGATGATGATGATGATGATGATGATGATGATGATGATGATGATGATGATGATGATGAAGCGGATGAGGAGGAGGAGGAGAAGGAGGAGAGGAGTTGGAGGAGGAGGGGGGAGGAGGAGTCCTCCCTCGCTTCCCAAATGTGGCTATCGCCTTAGCGCCGCGCAGATTCGTTTTACAAACGTTGCAAGAGTGTCACCGATTGAGGGCAGCTTCGTGCAGAGCGCGGTGTTTTGGGGGAGGGCGGGAACGAAAGCATCTGTTGATTTCGTACGTTTTGTTGGAATTGATCATGCTTGCTGGCGATGTTGATCGTCGTTCTCGTCGTCTTCGCCGGCGCGGCGGAGGAGCAGGATCCCGGGAGGATCGAACTCCGAGAATCGAGCTTCGAGGATCGAATTCCGAGGGTCGAGGTTTCAACCCCCTCGAAAACGAATCAACCACTTGACAAATACTTAATCAAGCACTTGACAAATATTTGCCTCCGCAGTTGTCCCGGCACAAGGAAAGCGAGCAGGAGGAGGAGGGGGAGGCAGAGGAGCGGCAGCAGCAGCAGGTGGATGAGTCATTCTCCCACGCGGCGCGCGCCTCGGTGAGGCCCTTGCCCACCCTTCTCTAAAAAGCCACCAGGTCCGCACAACCACTCATAAGGAGGTCGAGGAGAAGCAGGAGGAGGAGACAAAGGAGGGGGTGGAGGGGGGCGCGGAGGACGACAAGGATGACGATGCGGAGCAGGAAGAGGAGAAGGGGGGGCGAAGGGGGAACGAAGATGAACGGGAGGAGGGGGAGGAGGAGGAGGAGGAAGAGGAGGAGGAGGGGGCGAGGAGGAGGAGGAGGAGGAGTGAGGAGGATTATGAGGGGGGATGGTGAGGACAAGGCGGAGGAGGATCGATCATCGAGGTTAGATCGAAGATCGAGGATGGCGGGGGGTCGAGAATCGAGGCTCGAGGATCCGTGAAGGATCCAGGGTCTATCGAGGCTCGACGAAGGTCGAGTTTCGATCGAGGATCAAGGTTCGATCGAAGACCGAGGATCGAGGGTGGATCAAGGATGGGAGTTCGGTCGAGGGTCGAGGACCGAGGTCCGACCGAGGATCGAGGATCGATCGAGAATTGGGAATTGATCGACGTTGGAGGTTCGGAGGGAGGCGGACGAAGGGGGGGAATGACGAGGAGGCAGCACGAGGAGGACGGACGAGGACCAGGAAGAAGAGGACGACGAGGGAGGAGGGAGGTAGAAGGAGGATTGTGACGATGATCGCGAGGAGGGAGGATAAGGAGGGGGAAGGACGGAAGATGGCGGGCGTCTTGAAGGTCCCAGGGCCCACCGCCCACCGGAGGCAGGCTGTGCTCGCTCTGATCGGGGCTCCTGACAGGCCGTCGTCGCCACGGCTGGATTCGCCGAGGGCCGGGCCAGGGCGCGATGCAATCTTGGGGGCTGCTCGCCCCCATCGCCGGGCTCGCGCGGGGGGGCGTCCTCCTCCTGAACCTGAACAGCTGGCGAATAGTCCAACGGGTGCTCGCCTTCTGTCCTCCTCCTCCTCCTCCTCCTCCTCCTCCTCCTCCTCCTCCTCCTTCCCTCCTCCTCAGCCTCCTCCTCCTCCTCCTGTCTCCTCCTCCTCTTCCTCCTTCTGCTCCTCCGCGTCGACGACGACGAGGGCGCCGCCGGCCATTCCGGGAGGGAGAGAGGAGAAGACGACGACGAAGACGACGCACTAGAATGACGAACTAGATTCTAGTTCGTCGTTCTGTCGGTACTCTTGGGGCACCAGTACAGCGAATTTGATTATAGTTCGCCCTTTTCTGGGCGCCCTGGGGGCACCAGAATGACGAAGTAGAGAACTAGATTCCAGTTCGCACTGGGAGCAAAATAATTACGAACTAAATTTGAATTCGCCGTTCTGGCGGTACTCTTGGGGCACCAGAGCGGCGGAATAGATTCTAGTTCGCCGCTTTGTGGGCGCCCTGGGGGCACCAGAGTGACGCGCTATATTCTAGTTCGCCGTTCTTGGGGCACCATAATGTCGAACTAGATTCTAGTTCGCCGTTCTGGCGGTACCCCTGGGACATCAGAGCGGCGAAATAGAATATTGTTCACCTTTTTTGAGCGCCCAGGTGCCACCGGAATGACGAACTAGATTCCAATTCGCCGTTCTGGCGGCACAACGGCGAACTAGATTCCAGTTCGCCCTTTTGTGGGCGCCCTGGGGGCACCAGATTGACGCACTAGATTATACTTCGCCGTTCTGGCGGTACTCTCGGGTATTCTCGGGGCACCAGAGCGGCAATGTAGTTTCTAGTTCGCCCTTTTGTGGGCACCCTGGGGGCACCAGAGTGACGCGCTAGATTCTAGTTCGCCGTTCTGGCGGTACTCTTGGGGCACCAGGACAGCGAACTAGATTCTAGTTCGCCCTTTTGTGGGCGCCCTGGGGGCACCAGAGTGACGCACTAGATTCTAGTTCGCCGTTCTGGCAGTAGTCTTGGGGCACCAGAGCGGCGAACTAGATTCTAGTTCGCCCTTTTGTGGGCGCCCTGGGGGCACCAGAGTGACGAACTAGAGTCTAATTCGCCATTCTGGCGGTACTCTTGGGGCACCAGAACGGCGAACTAGTTTCTAGTTCGCCCTTTTGTGGGCGCCCTGGGGGCACTAGAATGACGAACTAGATTTTAGCTCACCGTTCTGGCGGTACCCCTGGGGCATCAGAGCGGCGAGCTAGGATATAGTTTCCCTTTGGGGGGCGCCCGGGGGGCACTAGAATGACAAATTAGATTCTAATTCGTCGTCCTGGCGGCACAACGGCGAACTAGATTCCAGTTCGCCCTTCTGTGGGCGCCCTGGGGGCACCAGAGTGACGCACTAGATTCTACTTCGCCGTTCTGCAAGACTCTTGGGCATTCTCGGGGTACCAGAGCGGCGAATTAGATTCTAGTTCGCCCTTTTTGTGGGCGCACTGGGGGCACCAGAGTGACGCACTAGATTCTAGTTCGCCGTTCTGGCGGTATTCTTGGGGCACCAGAGCGGCGAACTAGATTCTGCTTCGCCGTTTTGCGGGCGCCCTGGGGGCATCAGAGTGACGCGCTAGATTCAGTTCGCCGTTCTGGCGGTACTCTTGGGGCACCAGAGCGGCGAACTAGATTCCAGTTCGCCTTTTTGTGGGTGCCCTGGGTGTACCAGAGTGACGCGCTAGATTCTAGTTCGCCGTTCTGGCGGTACTCCTGGGGCACCAGAGCGGCGATGTAGCTTCTAGTTCGCCCTTGTGTGGGTGTCCTGGGGGCACCAGAGTGAAGCACTAGATTCTAGTTCGCCGTTCTGGCGGTACTCTTGGGGCACCAGGGCGGGGGCACCATATTCTAGTTCGCCCTTTTGTGGGCGCCGTGGAGGCACCAGAGTGACGCGCTATATTCTAGTTCGCCGTTCTGGCGATACTCTTGGGGCACCAGAGCAGCCGAACTAGATTCCAGTTCGCCCTTTTGTGGGCGCCCTGGGGGCACCAGAGTGACGCGCTAGATTATACTTCGCCGTTCTGGCGGTACTCTTGGGTATTCTCGGGGCACCAGAGTGGCGATGTAGTTTCTAGTTCGCTCTTGTGTGGGTGCCCTGGGGGCACCAGAGTGACGCGCTAGATTCTGGTTCGCCGTTCTGGCGGTACTCTTGGGGCACCAGGACAGCGAACTAGATTATAGTTCGCCCTTTTCTCGGCGCCCTAGGGGCACCACAGTGACGCACTAGTTTCTAGTTCGCCGGGGCACCAGAGCGGCGAACTAGATTCTAGTTCGCCCTTTTGTGGGCGCCCTGGGGGCACCAGAGTGACAGACTAGACTCTAATTCGCCGTTCTGGCGGTAGGTACTCTTGGGGCACCAGAACGGCGAACTAGATTCTAGTTCGCCGTTTTGTGGGCGCCCTGGGGGCACCATAATGACGAACTAGATTATACTTCGCCGTTCTGGCGGTACTCTTGGGTATTCCCGGGGCACCAGAGCGGCAATGTAGTTCCTAGTTCGCCCTTTTGTGGGCGCCTTGGGGGCACCAGAGTGACGCACTATAGTTTAGTTCGCCGTTCTGGCGGTACTCTTGGGGCACCAGAGCGGCGAACTAGATTCCAGTTCGCCTTTGTGTGGGCGCCCTAAGGGCACCAGAGTGACGCAGTAGATTCTAGTTCGCCGTTCTGGCGGTACTCTTGGGTATTCTCGGGGCACCAGAGCGGCGAACTAGATTCTAGTTCGCCCTTTTGTGGACGCCTTGGGGGCACCAGAGTGACGCACTATAGTTTAGTTCGCCGTTCTGGCGGTACTCTTGGGGCACCAGAGCGGCGAACTAGATTCCAGTTCGCCTTTGTGTGGGCGCCCTGGGGGCACCAGAGTGACGCGCCATATTCTAGTTCGCCGTTCTGGCGATATTCTTGGGGCACCAGAGCAGCCGAACTAGATTCTAGTTCGCCCCTTTTGTGGCCGCCCTGGGGGCACCAGAGTGACGCACTATGGTTTAGTTCGCCGTTCTGGCGGTACTCTTGGGGCACCAGGACAGCGAAGTAGATTCTAGTTCGCCCCTTTTTGTGGGCGCCCTGGGGGCACCAGAGTGACGCACTAGATTCTAGTTCGCCGTTCTGGCGGTACTCTGGGGCACCAGAGCGGCGAACTAGATTCTACTTCGCCCTTTTGGGGGCGCCCTGGGGGCACCAGAGTGACGCACCATATTCTAGTTCGCCGTTCTGGCGATACTCTTGGGGCACCAGAGCGGCGAACTAGATTTTAGTTCGCCCCTTTTTGTGGGCGCCCTGGGGGCACCAGAGTGACGCACTAGATTCTAGTTCGCCGTTCTGGCAGTAGTCTTGGGGCACCAGAGCGGGGGCGCCAGATTCTAGTTCGCCTTGTTGTGGGCGCCATGGGCAGACTGTGGTGTTTTTTTTGGGGGGCAGGAACGAAAACGAACGTCGACTTCGTAAGGGTTTGGCGATGTTGATCATGTTTGCCGCTCTGTTCCAGCCTCCGTTTCCTCGTCGTCATGTCGTCAGCACATCTCGTCCTCTTCCCCCCCCCCGCTCCTTTCCTGCGTTGTCCCCGGTTCATCCTATTGCGGCTTCTCTTATTTGCACTGCGCGTGCACCTCATGTTGATCATCGTCTTCTTGCGTTGCGTTGCTGCCCACTGTCCCCCTCGCAGTTTTTTTCTGCCGCCGCTTTCCTCAACGTTTTGATCCTCTTGGAGATTGGTTTGTTTATATCCTCTGGCGGGTAGCGCTTGTTTTCCGGCCTCGAAGATGCTCCCAGGAAGCCCCCAGGGAGTCCCAAGAGGGTCGAAAGATTGCCCAAGAGGGTCCTAGGATGGTTGGAGACGCCTCGGCAAAGTGTTTCAGCGTCAAACGGACAACGCGGGAACCCATGTAATACAGAACCCCGAAGTCGAAAATTATTAGATTCCTGTGTTGTTTTGCGCTTTTCCAAGGGGGGGGCCTTTGTGCGTCTTCTCTTTTCCGGTTCCCCGACGCTCCCAGACGGCCCAAGAGACCTTAAATATTGCTCCAAGACCCCCGTTGGAAGCCCCCAGAGGCCACCAAGAGGGCCCCCAAAGCCCCAAGAGCGCCCCAAGATCGTCGAGCGTTGCCAGTGGCTCTCATGGTGGTGTGCGGATCGCACACCTTTACGCGGAATTCCTGAAATTTCCAGACAAATCCCAAAGAGAGCAACGAGCAAACCTGGCATTTTTCGGAGATGTTCGGGGCCCTTTGGGAGCATTCTTCTGATCCTCTTTGGCCGTTTTTGGTGCTTTCTTCGTCCGTTTTGGGGCGTTTTCAGAAGCCCCCCGAGGGCTCCGAGACCCCCCAGGAGGTGCGCCATGTGCTGCTGCTGGTTCTCGTGCTGCTGCTGTTGCTGGAGGTGCTGCTGGAGCTGGTGCTGCTGGTGCCCGTTGCTGTTGCTGCTGGTGCTGCTGGTGTCCCTGCTGCTGGCACTGCTGCTGGTTCTGCTGGCGTTCTGGTGCGGTTGCTGGTGTTGTTGCCGAAGGATTGCAAAAACAAAAAACCCGAAGGATTGCAAAAAAAAAAACCCAAAAAACCCAGGATTGCAATCCTTCGTTGCTGCCGATGGTGTGCCTGAAGCTGAGGGGGTGGGCCACGCGCGTCGACGCGGAGTCGCTGAATCGGGGGAGCGTAAGACCTGGGTTTGCCAGGACTCGGGTTCGCCATCGTTTTTCGACGACCGCGCCTCGGATTTTGACGAGGAGGAGCTCCGTGGGCTGTCTGCAGCGGGAGGCCTCGTCAAAATGCAGGCTCGGCCTCGTCATTTTTGTTGCCGACCTCGTCGCGGATTTCCGAGTCCCCCGTACCCAGGTCTTACGTCCCCCTGACTGAAGTGGGAGACCAGAGGCAGACGAGCCACGCCAGCGGGGCCGCCGTGAGCCCCCTGAAGGGGGGCCCCGCTTGAGAGATCCACGGGGCCAGGAGAGGGGCGATACTCCAAATCCATTCTTCATGAATCGCCCCCCCCCCCCCCCCCCTAAAAAACCGGACCCCCTCTCCAAATGCGAGCTAATATTTTGGAACCCCCTCTTCGACGGGGCGCCTTAATAAACCGGACCCCCTACGCTCCAACTCAATGAAAGCGCTCTAATAAACCGGACTCCCCCAGTTGGAAAAAAAGGCGCCTTAAAAAACCGGACCCAGGGGACGATTAATATGGGATTTGGAGTGTTGGTCCATTTACGAGCTCTCTAAGACTTCGACATCCTTTTTGAGAGATCTTCGATAAAATGGATTCACCCAGGGGGGCAGGAAACACCGTTCCCCCAGGTGAGGCTGGTCGGAAAGGGGCGAAGACTCGCTTGGACCAGACTACAAGGAACATTGCCGAGCTGATCGAAATGGTCGGAGAGATCGGGGCCACACGCGACTATCAACGGTAGCTCTCGGTGCTGCGGCATGAGGTGTCTCAGAGTAGCGTGTGGCAGTAGTAGTTGTTGTGCAGTGTGTGTTTTCGCTACTTGGTTCAGAAGGTCGCGTACCGGGTACTTGCGGAGAAGACAGCCTGCATCGTTGTGTTCAAGTGGCAAGGGCTTGAGTTTCAACGCAATTCCCGTGGGTGGGATCCAGTGGCAGTTTTTCCCACGTGGTTCGAGCAATTTGGTATGATAAGATAGAGTCGCAGCTTTTCCAATCGGGGCGAATCCACGTAGACCGTGCACTGCCCTGTCCGTTCGCTGTTGCCGTAATCGGCCTCCTGCGTATGCAGCTACTGTCCAATGGACTCCAGTTCCCTGTCGCACGAAGCACGCTAGGGGCCGCGCCAGAGGCGTCGTCAGCCCAGCCTGGCCACTTCCTGTTCTTAAGTTGTGCCTCCTGTTCTGAGGCGCCCGCCCCGGCTCGATCTAGGTCGGGCGTGTCCCTCTACAGGAGGTTTATGGCTAACAAAAAGAAATAGTCAAAACATATTCAACAAGTATACAAAAGTAGGCAAAGAATCGTCCAGGGACTATCTTTAGACTATTTTTGAAGATCCCCCCTGCAGAGGGACCGGCCCGACTTGGGGTTCGATGCCGCCCCGAGTCACAGTCTAGGGTGCCCGGGCCTGCCCGTGCACACGCATCTCTCTCTGCGAGATCTGCCTCACGCAGCTGGCTTCGGCTCCGCCGCTGAGCTCCCTCGCCCCCACAGAGAAAAGCACACCGGCGCCTCCGGCGCCAGGGGGCGGCCGGCGCCAGGGGGCGGCGGGGAAAACAGTCTTTGTTGCGACGACGGGGGCGAATGGCCCAGAGGCGGGCACTGCACGCATTCGCCCAGGAGCCTCGCCGAAGACGCGGACAGTCGGCGCCGACGGATACACGTGTTTCGAAGAAGAAAAATAGCATACACAGAAACTTTTGGCGCTCCGCGCGGATTTCTTGGATCCGGGCTGGGCCCCCCTGGCGGCGCCCCTGGCACCGCCCCTGGCGCGCTCCGCGCGCTAGGGAGGGGGGTCCAGCGCCAGCGCGGATCCAGGAAATCCGCGCGGAGCGCCAAACGTTTATGTTTGTGTGTGTGTGTTTTTGTTTCTTGTTCTAAGTCTAGTATTACTCTTGCGCTATCCGCCCATGTCGTCGCCCCCGAAACAGGTGCATGCATGGGCGGACGGCCGCGGCGGGGCGATGCACGGAGGGGGTGCAGAGTCAAGTCGGGCTCGTCCATTTACAGGAGGAATATTCAAAAAAGTTATAACATAGTCTGGGGACTATTTGTCGACTCGATGTTATCATGTTCGAATCGTTTTTGATTGTTGTTTCGTCCAAAATCTGCCTGCAGGGGAACATGCCCGACCTCAACGTATTACTCTCCCCTGCGCTATCCGCCAAGGTCTTCGCCCACAAAACAGGTGCATGCACGGGACGGACGGCCGCGGCGGGTCGGAAGTCTGAACCTCCTCCTCCTCCTCCTCCTCCTCCTCCTCCCGTGGATGGCCACCCCCGCGTGGGTAGCCGCCCGCCTGCAGCTCATCCGCTGCGGCGCTGTAGCTCAGAGCCCTGAATCATCAGGGGTAACTCAGGTCAGGGCTAACTCGGGTTCGCTTTTTCGGGAATCCGAACCCGAGTTACCCCGTGTCCGAGTGACCCCGGATACCTCGGGCGCCCAATCCCCCGCGTGGGTAGCTGCCCGCATGCAGCTCATCCGCTGCGGTGCTCTAGCCCCAGGGCGCTCCCCGGGGCCATGCTCTTCATGCGGGCGAAAAAGGAGGAGGAGGAGGAGGAGGAGGAGGAGGAGGAGGAGGAGGAGGAGGAGGAGGAGGAGGAGGAGGTGGAGGTGGAGGTGGAGGTGGAGGTGGAGGTGGAGGTGGAGGTGGAGGTGGAGGTGGAGGTGGAGGGGAGGAGGGGGCCGTGCAGTCAGCCCGCATCGTAAGGATGGGCAACACTCCCAAGGGTACCCTGGCATTCTTGCCTCCTTGGTCCATCCTTGGCCACTTTCGCTCGCCGCGCCGCGCTCGAAAAAAGCTTCGAAGTCGGCGTCCGATGCCCTTGCGTCCTTATCGCGCATCCTTCTGCTACGGGCCGACTGTAGGAG